AAATGGCGCGGGGACGAGGGAAATGGCGGTGGGCATGAGGGAAATGGTGGCGGGCGTGAGGGAAATGGCGTCAGGGACAAGGCTACCTGGGGTCAGGGCCACCAGCCCCAGCGTTTGCTGCTAAATTCTCCATCACCACCTCATGCAGGGAGCAGAGAAGAAGTGGAGGAGAAGGCGCCATGTTTTGACATGGCAGAAGCAGCCTGCCCTGGTTTGCTGAGGTAAAATACGGCTGTGTGGTAGCAAAACCCAGGTGAAATCTGGATCTGCTGAGAAAAAATGTGGATCTGAGAGGGAAAATGCAGATCTGCTGAAGGAAAACATAGATCTGAGAGGGAAAATGTGGATCTGAGAGGGAAAATGCAGATCTGCTGAAGGAAAACATAGATCTGAGAGGGAAAATGAAGATCGGAGGAAAAATGTGGATCTGCTGAGGGAAAGTGCAGATCTTCTGAGGCAAAATAGGGATCTACTAAGGCAAAATGCCCATCTGCTGAGGGAAAAGGTACCGCCAGCTGCAGCCCAGAGGAAGGACTCCAGGTCCAGACATTGTCCTCCATGCTGCTTGTCCCTTGTCCCACCACAGCTCACCTGGTACCTCAGCCAAACCCCCTCTGTCTGCCTCCCCTCCTGTGTTTGCTCTTACGAGCTCTCCTTCCACCTACGCAAGCAGCTATTTTTAGCAGACACTAATCGAGTGGCAGGGGGGGCTCTGAGCGTGGCTTTCAAGCCGAGGGCTCCTGCTTTCGCCGAGCGCTCGCAGGAACTCGGGCGTGTGTTTTCTTTTAAAATTGAGTTGAGGCTTTATACAACGCGCCGCAGAATGGTGGTAGTTATTTCGGGCTCATCACACCTGAGCCCACGCTGAGCTATCAGCAGGCAACAATCCATTTTGGCAAGGGCCTGGCAGAACATCCCCCTCCCGGCCCCGCTCTCCGTGCTGCCCGCAGTGCCCGCCTTGCCTAACCCCCAAGGAGCCGGCTCCAAGCCAGGGATGCCCAGCTGAGGGGTAGCTTTCCTCTTCTTGGCCCATTTATCATCAGCACAAGGATATTGCGTTGGTATTTTGAATCATTCGGGAATGGAAAATACTCAGTGCTCAGCCACAGGGGTCACAGCCTCCTCTGACTAAACCCACCTCGTGGGGTTGGCCGGTTCCCCTGCCGCTGAGGTTACTCTTGGCCTGCTAACAGCTTCCTGGAGACCGTTACCAGACCTGCTCCTCATCAGGGCTTGAGCAGCTCTGATTCAGCAAGAGCAAGCTGGTGTTGGAGTGAGCTGTGTTTCACTTTGGCTGCTCAACTGAAACAGTTTCTTAAGCTAAAGTGTGATGTGATCCGTGCTTCAGCTTCCAGGCAGATACAAAGAGCTGCCTCTTCTCTGGTACCAACCCCTCACTTGGATCTAGAGCATGGATATGAAGAGCTGCCTCTTCTCTGGCACCAACCCCTCACTTGGATCTAGAGCATGGATATGAAGAGCTGCCTCTTCTCTGGCACCAACCCCTCACTTGGATCTAAAGCATGGTAGTTCCTTCCTGGCACCCAGCAGCAAAAGTTGGAGCTGGGGAATGGGAGTGGTGGGTCCTTCTCCTGCTCACAGCCCTGCTGCAGGCAGGACACCTTGGTCTGAGGGGGTTATGCTACCCTTGCAGAGAGGCCATGTGAGGGGAAGGCTCCCTCCCTACCTTGGTAGCATCAGAGCAAGCACATCCCGTAGGGCAGGAACTCCTTGGGGTGTCAGAGCTTCAGTGTCCACCGAAGAGAAACAACAACGGGTTCCCTGTAACCAGCACAAAGCCAGAGCTGTAGGAACTGCCCCATGGCTGCAGGGTCTCCACCTCCCAACTCCACTCATGGCATCTCCTCTCCTGGGACATCATTCCTAGGGCTTGTAAATCCTTCTGGGCAGCCCTGGGGTGTGACAAAGAATGGCTCCGTTCAAGAAAACCAGAGAAAAAATTTATTATTTTTTCTTTATAAAATATCTCCAATAAGTTATATAGGCAAATATTTAAATTAAAATAAATTAACTCCGCTCTACGCCGGGACACGCGACCGTCCGCAAAGTCAAACTAGGATTTGTGTTTCTTTGAAAAAATATGCCCTAGATCTTCAATGTAATAAGATTTGAAAAAAAAAAATATCTATGCTTGGTGAGGAGGGAGGAGCAATCTGCAATGGACAGAGGGGTTAAGGTGCGGTGCTGAAGCTGCCTGGCGCCTGGGCCATCTCCACATCCAGCTAAGTGCTCAGAGCATCTTCATCGTCGCTCCAGTCGGGAGGAGCGTCCGTCCCAAAGTACCGATCCCCAAAGTTCCCTGTGGGGAGAAAGAGAGAGATGCAATGGTGGTGCAGCTCTGCAGGGAGCCCTGAGACCTGTCCTCCAGCCTGCCATCAGCCCAGGAAACAAAAGCAGGTTTCTCCAACACCTTGAACGTCATCAAAACTCGTGTAGCAGCAAAACTGGAGCAGCGCGGAGGCTGGTTTAACACCCTGTGCCAGGGGTGTTTCCTGGGACAGCAGAGGTGAGGACAGAAGGACACACTGAGCTTGTTTTGGAGGAACTTGTTTAAGGTGGGAATGAGGTAGGTGCAGGTCTGCTCCAGCTTCTCCACCTGGGGCTGGAGGAGGCTCAGGGCACGTGGAGTAACTGCTTCTGTCAGCAAGGTTATGGCAGCCTGACAGCTCTCAGAGCGTGCATGTCAACCCCAACACCCCCGTGGCACCAGGACCCAGGACAGGCAGTGGGTCCCTGCGTAAAATAAGGCCAGACCTAAGCTGCTGCTGACAACCAGGGCTTCAACTCCTCTGGTGAGTGGGCCAGAAGCACCGAAAATCCCCCTGATTTCACCCCTACCCAGATACTCACCGATGCCAGGGATTATCCGGAAAAGGTCATTCACCTTCTTGTCCACAGCTGTGGTGATGATCTTCACCCGGGGGAAAGCGTAAGCGACTGAGTGGACACCCATCTCCGCCATAAGCAGGGAAAGGAGGAAGATCTTGTCTTCTGGGACATCATGATCCTACAGGAAAGGCACGGAGGTAGCTCAGAGATGCTGAGGAGCAGGGGTAAAGGTCTCTAAGGCATGTTATGGCCTCAGAGTGCTTGAGAGCTTCCCTGGAGCCACCTTCTCTCCATGGCCAGCTGGAGTTACCAGGCAAAGGACCAAGAACCCAACTAAACCCAGGCTCTAACTACCCAAGGAAGTCAGCCCTGGTTACAGAGTCACCCCAGCTTGTGCCAGCTCCCAGGACACCTTCCCAAGGAGGAGACAGTTTCAGCACAAGGCCCCTCAGCCTGGCTGCAGCTGGTGTTTCACATATTACCTGGGAACAAACCCCCCACCCTCCTCACTGTGCCCAACATCTCCCTACCAGCAGCACTCGCACTGCCATCATGGCCGCTGCGCCCGTGGAGACCGTGCAGTCCATCAGGATGACGTGGTCTTCGCTGATGTCCTTGGGCAGCCGCAGATAGTGGAGCTGGGCAGGGAGAAGAGAGATCAGCTTAGAGGCTGCAGGCTCTGGGTGTCACCCAAGGGTCTCCCCTGACCAGCAGAATGGAGCAACCTGACCCCTTCTCGTAGGGGGGTGAAGGACCTTTCATGCACCTCTATCTCTGGGACCTCAGCTCTCAGGTTGGAGCCAGGCAAACACTTGGCCATCAAGCCAGTCCCTGCGTGCACAGCCATGCTGGCAAAGCCCACTGCAGAAGCTCTCAAAGCCGCTCTCTTTCTGCTCACTCAGCCCCCACCAAGATCAACTCTTGGATTGCTGAAGAGCTCTCAGGAAATACCCAAATCATCCCCTGGCCACAGGTTGACACCAGGAGATGCCCTCAGAGCCAAGGGCCCCGGGCTTTATAGAATCACAGCCTGGTTTGGGTTGGA